TGGGCCGGGGGCTGTGCGTGCAGAGCTGGGACTCGGGGCCGGCCGGGGAGCCGCCGGCGCCGGCGCGGCTGCGGAGGAACGTCTGCTACGTGGTGCTGGCCGTGTTCCTCAATGAGCAGGTGAGGGTCCGCCCGTCCGGCCCGCCGCCCGGCCTCGGAGCGCGCGCCGGCCCAGGTGGGGACGGACGGAAGAGCCAACGGCCACGGCCACAGCTGCCCTGTGCCTTGCGCCTCCCGGTTTTGCAAAGCACTCTCACATTTGCACCTGAGCCCTGCGACGGTCCCCATATTCAGAGGAGGAAACAGGCCCGGGGGCCCGTTTGTCTCGTCCCACAAGGCCTCTTAGTTCCTTGAGGAGAGGGCTGTGGTATTCCTCTTCCTGTCCCCAGAGTGTAGCACATGTGCCCAACACGGAGTGGGCTCTCTTGAATGCCTGTCCAGGGCCTCAGTCACCTCCCCTGGGCCCCACGGGTAGTAGTGGCACAGCTTCGGCTTACGCTCTTTTTCGTGCTGACCCCCGAGCTAGCCCACGTAATAACGACTAGGAAGGGCCAAGACTATAGGTAGGGGTTGTATAGGGTGGGGTGGGGGTGGGATCATGTTTCAAAGTCCAGATCCCAGTGTTAGGAGCTGCTACAAGCAGTCTGTAAACCAAGTGGGAAGGCGAGAGATACATAATGACATACAGATACAGATCAGTGCAGGACACATGATAACCCTCAGTCTGGGGGGCCTAATTTCCAGCCTCTTTGTGAAATGCAAATCTTTCTGAGTTCAAAGAGGGACAGGATTGCAGAGAGGAGAGGGCTGCAGTCCCCAGCCATGCAAGGACCAGCCTCCTGAAGAGCTCAGCATTTGGAGGGTATCTACCAACCAGCAGGAGTGTATTGGGCAACTGTGAGGTCCCACCAGGCCCCGGGGAGGGGGTGGCAGGTGGTTGTGCTGCTTCTGCAGAGCTCCCAGACCAGCCAGACGTGGTAGGGGTGAGGATCCTCTCTCTCCCCTCAGGACGAGGTGCTGCTGATCCAGGAGGCCAAGAGAGAGTGCCGTGGGTCGTGGTACCTGCCTGCGGGGAGAATGGAGCGCGGGGAGACCATCGTGGAGGCGCTGCAGCGGGAGGTGAAGGAGGAGGCTGGGCTGCACTGTGAACCCCTGACGCTACTGTCCGTAGAAGAGCGGGGCCCTTCCTGGATCCGTTTCACATTCCTTGCTCGCCCCACAGGTATGGCCCACCTGGTGGGAGCGCGAGCAGGGGCCGATTGACACCTTTCCCCCTGCCTGTCCTCCAGTGAGATGAGCCCCTCCGCAGCCAGCCCTATTTGGTCTGGTACAAGCCTGGCATTGGCGGATTCCAGCCTGAGGGCTCGGGGCCTCCCCCTGGGTCAGGGCTAGAGTGCCTGGGTGTCCATTTACTCTGCCAGATCCACAAATCTCTCAACGTAGCCCCATCCCCCAATCTCCCCTAGGTGGAATTCTCAAGACTTCCAAGGAGGCAGATGTGGAGTCCCTGCAGGCTGGCTGGTTCCCACGGACCTCCCTGCCCACTCCACTGCGGGCCCATGACATTCTGCACCTGGTGGAGCTAGCCGCCCAGTATCGCCAGCGGGCCAGGCACCCTCCTGTTCTGCCCCAAGAGCTTCCCTGCAGTCTGGTCTGCCAGCGACTCGTGGCCACCTTTACCAGCATCCAGACGGTGTGGGTGTTAGTGAGCACGGTGGGTATGCCCCACTTGCCCATCACCACCTCTGGCTTCACCCCCATGGAACAGAGGGGTGGCCTCAAGATGGCTGTTCTGCGGCTGCTTCAGGAATGCCTGACCCTGCACCATCTGGCAGTGGAGACCAAGGGCTTGCTTGGACTGCAGCACCTGGGCAGAGATCACACAGATGGCATCTGCCTGAATGTGCTGGTGACAGTGGCTTTTCGAAACCCAGGTATTCAGGATGAGCCCCCGAAGGTTCGGGGTGAGAACTTCTTTTGGTGGAAGGTGGTGGAGGAAGACCTACAAAGCCAGCTCCTACAGAGGCTTCAGGAATCCTCTGTCATCCCAGTGAACAGATAGGAAGGCACCAGAAGAAGCCAGGAACTGGGCATTTGTGCTCCCTTGGAGGGAGGGAGGAGGCTGGCAACCAGGGATCTTGTTGCATTAAGAGCTAGAGCAGTTCTCCTTGTCCTTGGGGATTTTGTGGAACAGGCCCCTCCATTACGCCAAAAGGGCCAGTGCCTTTAACACGCGAGGAGTCCAGGGCTCCAGGAGGCGACTGTCCCTTGGGCACACTGAAGTTTCTCCTGTATGGGAGCTCTCAGCCCCAGATGGCGTCCACTTGTCATTTTCTGTGCCCACCTCGGCAAGGACCTCTCATCCTGATCCTTTCAGGCACTTAATCCTAGAGGGGGTTGGGGGAGGCCCCCGGAGGGAGGGGCCCTTGCTGAGTGAGTAGGTGTTGCTCACCTTGCCTTTCCTGCCTAAGTGTCTCTGTGGGCAGAAAATGAGGGGGGCTGATGGCCAAGAGAGCTGCTGCTCCCCTGTCCCACTGATGGCCACCCAGGCCTTTCCCAGATAGCACGTGGGCATTGCAGGGGCTCCTGCCATCCACTGCAGCCCCTGGGCCCACTGGGGCTCTCTTGATTGCGCCTGCTGGGGCAGGATGTGACCGAGGGGACCACATCATTAATGAAAACATGAGGTGTTGGGCCGGCCCGTGGCTCACTCAGGAGAGTGCTAACACCAAGGCCATGGGTTCGGATCCCATATAGGGATGGCCGGTTCGCTCACTGGCTGAGCCTGGTGCTGACAACACCAAGTCAAGGGTTAAGATCCCCTTACCGGTCATCTTTAAAAAAAAAAAAAAACGAGGTGTGAGCAGCGGGGACTCCAGGGGAAGCTGCAGGTGGGGCTGGGACCGTGAGTGCTGCCCCCGCCTCTGCCAAGCTGCTTTCTTCTCACGATTCCCCAGCTCTGATCCTCTCCCTCATCTCCTGCCTCTGCCTTTTTACAACTTCAGCCCGAGACAGGTCAAACCTTTTCTTCATTTCTCCTCAGCCCAGATGAATCATTGGATTTTTCTTTAATAAAAGCACTTTACTAAAATTTAAGGGAAAACCAAAGGAAATGAACAAAGGAAACGTCTCATGCGCTAGTCCCAGCATCTAAGGCACAGACTGCTGGTTCTGAGCAGAGAGCTCGTGCATGGGCTTCCCCTCTCCTCCACTCCAGCCCCGAGGGCCAGGACAACCTCTATGGCCCTTCCCAGCCCCTCTCCCTGCCTCTCCTGGCTGCCATCTTGTCTTCCTGGTCTCTAGAGGGTGGTAGGAATCCTCCTCCCCTCTGAGAACAAACATCTTCTGAATGCTGGATCCAAAGCCTTTTACTCAACTCACCTGTCCCAGCGTCTGAGGGCCACTGCTCCGCATGCACTTGGAAGGGCGCTGACGCTTGCCCGTTATCCAGCCTTGTAGTTTTCAACCCAGGGTGCACATTAGAATCACCTGGAGAGCTTTCCAAACGCCTCAGGGCCCATCCCCAGGGATACTGATGTAACTAGTGGTGAGGGGGTGCAGCTGGGCATGGGTACTTTCAAAAGCAACCCAACTGATGCTTGCCCTACCCTGATGTGCTCCTGGTGATCACCTCAGAAGATCCCTCGCCCCATCTAAGGACTGTTAAATATCAGGTCCACTGTTCACGACTAAAACAGCATGTAACACAAACACTTAAGAAGGAGACCTGCGTACAGATGCTACCACATGGTCCCTTCCCTTGTGGTGTCTTGGAGCTAGCAGGCTCTCAGTTGTAGGTAAGCTAAGCAGAAACTGTTGCTGGGCCAAGTAAAGAGCCTGGCTCCTGGCAGGCACCGAGGAACATGAGATTTGCACTGCCAGAGCCTGTCTCTGTTTACCACCCGCCCCCTCCTGCTCCAGTGCTGGAAAAAGAATTTAATTGGTCTTCCCTGGGGAGGAAGATGGGCCTGAATTAGCAGTGAAGCCCTGGGCCGAAGGATGGGAAGCACGAAGGAGAGAGCCACCGTGTCCACGCAGTCACTCCATTTATTGCTGTGCTGTCTGCAGAAGACACCGTTCAAACGCCAAAGTGCACCAAGGAGAGGTGAGGGGCTCCCAGACCCTCAAACATTTTATGAATCTACGAGTCCAGACCCAGTCCATCTGGTGAGATCTGCGCCATCAGCCCACACCGAGCCCCCGTGCCCACACACACGCAAAACTTCAGAACAGCAGCTGGGTCCTCCCCCGCCAGGAGGAATGCAGGAGAGGTAGAGGTCACCGAGTTTCCTCCTCTTTCATGTCACCTCCTGGCAACCTGCGGCCGGCTTCTAGAAGCCGCATGGGCAGGAAAAGGAAGCGAAAGGGGCTCTGGCCTGCTCCTCCTTGCCCAGGAGCGAAGCCAGCCACTGCAGCCCCACTGTGAGGTAATGCCTGGCGCCGCCCGTGTGCTCCTGCAGGTCGAGACAGATTCAGACCGGGTGGGGTGGCAGCCCCAGCCACAGAGGGCACACAGGGAGAACAACACGGGAGCTGGCTCCTGTGCCTCGGCCCCTCCCCGCCAGGCCTCAAGGGCCTGCAGCTGGGGCCTCCTGCTCTCCTCTGTTCCCTGAGCTCCCTTGCTGCCCAGAAGGGCTTTCCATCAAGAACCTAAGTGCTGGGCAATGCACAGAGCAGAACCTGGCCTCCCTTGCTCTCTGACCTCTCTGCCCAGGTGTTGTGGACCTGCTGAGACGGGTTCAGGAGGCGCCAGAGAGAAACCAGCTGGAGCCGGGGCCTGGCACCCAGCTCCCTGGGCCCTCTCCTGCCCTGGCTGCAGCTGCATCAAGGTCCTCATTAACAGCTGCCCCCGCCTGGGTGCGGAGCAGGCTTTGGGCATTTGCCATGAGGCAGTTGAGAATTTTGCAACAGTCTCCAGGAGGGCAGAGCAAGAAGAGGGGCTTCCCTGCGGTCCCCTTCACAGGTTGAGCCAAGAAGGTAGGAAAAACTGTCAAGTCTCAGCGGCTTCCATGGTACCTAATGTGACCCAGATCGGGCTCCCGGCCCCCATCTCTCTGGCCTGGGTTCCTAACCAGCCTTGCAGCCGCCAGCTCACTCCCCTCTTGCCCCTGGAATTGAGTCACAGGTGTTGGTGCTGGCCACAAACAGCCAGTACAGAGGATGACAGGCATACAACACATGAGGGTCTTGGGATCTGGGTGCTCACCTGGCCATCACCCAGCTGCCTGAGGACACCAGGCTGCCTGGGAAGCCATCTCTGTTGCTTCTTGGCATCTGGTACCTTGGAGGCCCACTCCCTGAAATCCAGTCAAGTGTGGTCAACAAGCCATGGTCTCCTTGAGTTAACATGGGAGCTGGAGCCCCCGCCCCTGGGAGGAGAGCAGTGGCAGGCGGTGGTGGCTCCTGGACAGAGGTGGGTACAGGGGTCTCTCCATCCATCATGCTCCTGGCTCAAACTTGCCCTTCCGGGGTTGGGGAGAGGGACAGGTATGGAGCGTGTGGGGGAAACTTCACAAAGGCGATGGCAGCCAGCTCCTTGCAGAACTCCTCCAGCACCACCACGCCTTCCAGGAGGGTCTGGTGGTCCAGCCTAAGGGGAGACGGCACAGGGGCCTGGCTGTGAGGCAGCTGGAGTATGCCCAGCATGACAGCCACACGTCCATGAGGCTCTACCTGGTGGCTGGCATCTCCCTGACCAGAGGCACTTTCTGCCTGCCCACCCAAGGCTCTTCCCTGGGCAGCCATACCCCTCGGGTACTCACTGCTCCCCCAGGGCCTGGCCCATCAGCTGCTTGCGCACCAGGAGCAGCTTGCCTGGGAACTGGGGTACCCTCTGAATTCTCTGCATCAAGTCCCCGATCACCTAGACAGGGAACCACAGAGAACTCAGACAGGCCCAGTGATGCTCCAGCAGGGTGCCCTGGCTTTGCCATGCCATGGGGAAGGGGACGGGGGACCTGGGCTTTCCCTGGCACTGGCGAGGGGGCCTACTCTACCACTCCCCAACCGCCCTGCCCTGCTCCCCCTCCTCCCTGTCCTCCACTCCCACTGTGTTCACTCACCCAGGCCAGGCATCCTCACCCTGACAAGCACTGAGAACAGGCTCCTGCTGCCGGGGGCCAGGCTGATGTAGGGATCCAGGAGGTACTCGTGGATATGGGGGTGGGGGAAGAGGGCGAGCCGGGACAGGACTGAGGTCACTTGCAGGTTCAGGCTATATGGCTGTAGGGAACATGGTGGACAAAGCTGGTGGCTGGCAGGGGGTGGTAAGCATTTTTGCACTCCCCCAGCGAGGCGCCTGGCCAGTGCGAACGTGTGCGGGGGTGGGAGACTCACGTGACATGTGTGTCATGGATTACCTGGGGCTGAGGGCCAGGACATGTTAGGGCGTGTGGAGCAGAGGCGAGATGGGGCTTCCCACCGGGGAGGAAAGGTAGAGGGGCGGGGGGCTGCTGTGGAGCCAGAGAAGGGAAGGGGAGTTGAGCCCCCTGAGGCCAGCCCTGTCCTCCCGAAGGACTCCAGAGGTGCCAGTCTGGAGATCTCCTGTGGGCCCTGTCCTGTCAGCTACCTGGTCCAAAATTCGGGACATGCGGTCAAACAGCACTCGGAGAAAGTGACCCTCGAAGAAAGGCTGTTCAGGCTCATGGAGGTCCAGGGGAGTGGGACCCAGGGGCCAGCCCCAGGGGGCGACGCGGGAGCAGCACTCCTGGAACTGCAATGGGGGAGACCGAGGAGGTAATGGGGTGGTCAGGAGGAGCCAGCAGAGTGACCCCGCACAGGACGGATGGGCTCGGGGCTCCTTGGGCAGAAGATCAAAGAGGGAGGCATGGAGTTGATCGACACACTGGCTCTGGAGGACGAGAAGTGGGAGCTGGCAGAGCTGACACTCACCAGTCCATAAGCATCGTGGACGTACGTGTCATATCCAGTCTCCTCCAGAAAAGCCGAGGTCTTGGCTTCCTCAGGGACCAGGCAGAGGAAACTGAGAAACAGGAGCCCAGCTGTGGAGGCACCCCCTGGACTCACCCTGCTCTCCTCTGCTTACCAGAGCTGGGCTCCTCCCCGGGTGGACCCTATTGGGGCTGTGGCCAAAGACAGCACAAAGCTCAAGTGGCTCCGATTGCCTAACCTGCTCCCCACCTGTTGACGATCTCGGTCACTGCTGTTTTGCCATCCGAGTTGGTGGCAGGCGCTGGGTGAGGCTTGAGGGAAGGCTGAAAGCCAGAATCAAGGAAGCCGTCTGTGAAGTAGGGGTCTTCCTCCAGATCTCTGTGGCCAGGGCAGACCAGCATAGCACCAGTGAATGAATGAATGAATGAGTGAGCATGGGTGGGCTGGGCTGGGTCCTGGGGGACCCGGGCTTCACTTACAGTGTGTCCTCGTAGCTCTCGGGCTCCGGCGAGCCCCGGGCCACATAGAGGCGGCCATCAAGGTTGCGCAGGATCAGGCTGCTGATGATGCCCTCATGGGGCTTCTGGAGCAGCTCCTCGAACAGCCGCAGCGTGGCGATGCTGATCTGGAGCAGGAAGGGGGTCAGCAGGGACGCCCCTGCCTGCCCCAGCCTCTAGAATGGGTGCCTTGGAATTGCGGACCCAAATAAGAAGTCCTCTAAGGTGGGGTCACCTTCCCTGGCTGGGGGCTAAGGTTGCAGGTTTTGTGGGGAGTGGGTGGGTGTTGGCCTAGGAACCAGGAAGTCTGGGTGGTTCCTGTTCTGTTACTAATTTGATGTGTGATCCAGGAAAGCAAATTGGCTTCTCTGTACCTCAGTTTCCATTCCAGAAAAATGGGAATGTCAGCCTCACCTATCTCACAGAGTGGTCGTAAGCCTCAAACGAGCCAAGTGGATAGAAAAGCAGTTTGCAGAATATGAAGTGTCATGAAAAGTATGCAGTCACAGAAAATTACTGTGTGACAGCTTCACTGTGTGTCACTGTTTTGGGGGGTTCAGTGTCTCAAAGGGAGAATCACCTGAACAAGCTAGTGAAAATAAGAAGCAGTGTGGGAAATTCCTTCAGTGGGAAGGGGTGGTGCCAGCGGAGATGAGAGTCCCTTCCACTTACCTCATCAGAGAGGTGGTCGCAGTGCCTGATGAGGTGAGCGCACAGGGTGCGGGGGTTGTCTTCGGGGGCTTCAGGCTGCTGGTCCGTGCCCAGGAGGAAAGTCACAGCCTCTTGCAGCAGTGTGGGGGAGCGAAGCCGGCGCAGCAGGGCCGTCAGCAGGGCGGTAGAGGTCAGCATACTCCGCTCAGACCTGCAGGGACAAGGCACCTCAGCCAGGCCCGGGCTCTCAGAGCCAGGCGGGGAGAGAGAGAGGTGTGGGGAGAGAGAGGTGCGGGGAGTGAGGGCATGCAGGGGAGGCAGACCCTCTCCAGGTGTCCTCACAGCTCTGGCTAATATATCTCTGGTCACTTCCCCATCCCCTGAGGTCAAGTGTGGCTCAGAGCCATATGCCTGTCAGCAGGGCAAGGCCTGGCCGACATTAAGCAATGGAGTCCACAGATGTGAGTCTGGCTGACAAGGTCCCCAGCCATAGGGACAGGAAGGGGCTTGGTGAAGTAGTGGTTTGATCCAGACCACAGCCACACCCAAGGGACCCAGACACACACTTACACGTGCAGGAGCTGGGGCTGCAGAGTCTCCACAAATAACTTCCCAGCCCCCAAGGGACCTAGACACACACTTACACGTGCAGGAGCTGGGGCTGCAGAGTCTCCACAAATAACTTCCCAGCCACAGCCTTTGCCAAAGCATCCGCCACCACCTGCGTGCCAAAGAGCATGTCCTCAACACGTTTTACACCCACTACAGTTTTCCACGGAGGACTAACCGTGACTTTGCACAGAGCCTAACACCACAGGCAGAGGGGCCCGGCTAACCCAGGACCCTGCTCGGCTCCTAGACCCCATGTTTCCAAGCATGTGCTCCACTCGGTCCTTGAGACGAGACAGCAAAGGGAGCAGCGTGGGAGAGCCCGTCTGCACCCACCGCTGCTCACCGCGTGTGCCTCTGTGATAAGGTGGTCGCAGTAATCAAACCAGCCCAAGAAGGCAGCCAGGGCCTCCTTGCCAGGGAAGGAGACCTCATCAGACGGGGCGCTGGGTAACCTGAAGGGAAAGGGAGGAGGGAAGTCTGGAGAGTGAGAGAGGAACTTTGACATCTTCCTCAAGCACGTGCACCCGGAAGCTGGGTCCTTTCTCCCACTCCTCGGTAACCTCCATCACTGGGGCACAGTTCTATTGGGATCTTTAGGGTCAGAGACAAGAAAAGAGATGCTTCCCTGGAGGATGAGAAGGCCCTTGGGGATCAGCTGTCACCTCGGGAAATGGGTGGCCAGCAGGGGCCTCCAGCTCCCTTGGAATACCAGAGGAGCCAGACAGGCAGGGCATCGAGCCACCGAAGATGTCACCCAGGGGTCAGGACCTACCTCCAGCTGATACCCTCTAATGTGGCAACATCTGCGGGGTCAAGGAAGGTGGGCAGGGACTGGTACAGCTGGCAGAGGTGCTCGGCGATGGCAAGGCAGGAGCTGCTCTGCACCAGGTAGGTGGCAGCTGCCGGGGAGGCCACGTGCACCAGGAGCAGCAGGTTCTCTTGGGCCTTCAGGGCCACTCGACTCTTCTAGGAGATGGGGATATGACTTCAGGGACATGCATCTGAACCCCAAAATCACCTCCCAGCTATCCGCCCCCTCCTCTCCTGGCCCCCACCCTCTCTGTCTCTGCAGCCAGCACCTTGCTCTTGCACAGTCCGAGCAGGGAGGTGATCAGGTTGTTCTCCCCGGTCCCACCATCTGGCTCCTCGGTCCCTGCAGGCAGGCGGCTGCTCAAGGCCTGGGCTCCGCAGGGCTCCCTCTCCAGTGGGGGGACCCTGTCAGGAGCACTGCTGTGGGAGTTGTCCTTGTCCCTGTGGTTGGCTGTGTCGTTAGGCAGGGCGGTGGGTTCTCTGGAGGCCTTCTTCCTACCTACAATCTTTTTACCCTGGGAGGGGTGAGGCCAGGTCACGGTGGAGACCATTCCCTGTGATGACCTCCCCCTTGAGAACGCAGGGTGAGCCGGCTGACAGGGCCCCAGCCTGGAGCTGAGGCGAGATTGCCTGAGCACACCTTGGGTCCCCACTCTCTCCTTCTGCTTCTCAGAAAGGCCAAGGGAGCCTTCCCCTGGGGCTGCAGCCCCCCATGTTCCCCACTGGATGCTCACTTCCAGGATGTAGGCAAGCAATGCTGGATCCTGCTGGATCTTGGAGCAGAGGACAGTGGTGAACTGCACCTCCTCCTTTTCAGTAAGGGACCCAGTAACTGTCCCACCAAGTCGGAGAAGTTTCTGGAAAGGGAGCAGGATAGAAACAGAGGGGAATAAGATGGCTGGGGAGAGAGGGGCCTCACACCCAGCCGCCCCTTGGCTTCTCGGCCTCTCACCTGCACAGGCCTGTGGACGCTGAGGTAATGCAGCAGCGGGTGCTGCACCTGGGCCAGAACTTTGCTGAAGAACTGGAACACCTGCTGCCGCATGCCCGGTGGGTACTGAGGGCCAGGGGCAGAGCGCCTGTCAGAATGGAAGCCACGTCCACCTGCCCGGACGCTCTCCTCCTGGAGCTCAACATGGCTCAATTCCTCAGTCACGGCACAGAGGGCACCTTCGCCACCAGGCTGCCCTCCCTGACCACTCTGTTTGACACTGGCCTCCTGTGTGCTCCCACACCCCTTTCCTGCCTTATTTTTCTCCATAACTGGATCAGTACTGAACATACGACACAATTACCCTGCCCCTTCCCACCCGCCAGGATTCCTGTCTGTTTTTCCCAGCACCCAGAGCACAGCCTGGCAGGTGGCAGGTGCTCGGCCCACCTCTGTGAAGCAAATGTCAACTGGGCGAAAGGGCACAGAAGCCCCTGGGAGGTGGCGGGGCCCCGTTTGGTCCCCCCACCCTCGGTGTCAGGACCAGGAGCAGCACATGTAGAAAAGCCTGGCATCCAGCGGCCCTGGCTCATGTGGAAGGTTCCAGAAGCACCCCCCGGGCTCTGCCCACCTCGGCCTTGCCCAGCGTGCACAGGGTCTCCAGGATCTTGTGCTGCAGCAGGTACTCCAGACAGGGCCCCGCCTCACCAGCCGCTGTCTGCTGCCTCTCCTCATACACCAGGATGTCCAGCATCTGTTTCAGCCGCCAGGGAATGTCTGTTTTCTTGGCCGGGGTGTTTTCATCTAACCAAGATTCAGGAAACAAGGGTGAATGGGGTGAAAAGGGACCCTGCGGCTTAAAAGCCTGGCTCTCTCCTGCCAAAGCCCAGAAGGGAGTTGTGTCTAGGATGTGGGGGCAGGAGGCTGAGGGTAACGAGGAAATCGAACTTTATAGCTGACGCTCTGTACATAAAAAGACAAAAGTCCTTTCGGATGAGGCCCAGGACACAGCCCTCTGGCTGAGAACACGTGCCCGTCCCCCAGCACTCTATCAGTTGTCTGCACCCACAGAAAGACAAGTTGCAACCAGTTGGCTCTGGGCATGAGTGAGAAGCGGTGGGCTCGGGGGTCTGTTCATATAATTTAGAATCTGTATTCTAGAAGTTTCCTGAGTAATAACCTCCTGGAGCTTGTTTATGTTCCTTTTACACTCATAGAAGGCAATATTCTGTTTTTTAACCAAGCAGAAAAAAAAATCTGTGCACCACCATTGGCTTTGACCCTACCCGCTCTTCCGTGCAGATGCCCTGACAGAGGAGCCAGCTTCAGGCTTTTTTACTCAGAGTCTCAGAGTACCGTGTTTTGTTTAGAGTTTTGGTATGTTGGAACTGGCCTTGGAGCACCCCCTAGCTTTTCTTTCAGGCACAGGATCCTGGGCAGGGCAGCCAGCCTCACCCACTCCCGACGCCTCTGGTCTAGGGACCATTCTGGAAATTAAAGGACTGGACCCAGGTGAAGTCCCAAGTGGGTGTGAGTCATTTCTGGATCTCGTCTTCCTTTTTTGGTGGACTGAGCTCTCTGTCAAGAGATCTTTAAAGGAGTGGTTCTCAACTAGACGGCAGTTCTGTCCCCGAGGAAACATTTGGCAATGTCTGGAGACATTTATGGCTGTCACAATGGGGGATGGGGTGGGGTGGTGCTACTGGCATCTAGTGGGTAGAGGACAGAATCACTACTAAACATTCTACAATGCCCAGGACAGCCCCAACAACAAAGAATGACCCAGTCCAAGTGTCAACCATGGCAGGTTGAGAAACATGGTCTAACAGAACTCTCAGAGGGTCCCTCAGAGTGTCCAAAGGCCACTTTTTAATTTCTGGAGCTGGCTCAGGCTGGAAATAAAGCCTTTAGGAACAGCACAGACTGGAATCAAATCCTAGTTTGAACTTCAGGAGGTGAAAAGGCTATAGAGGCAGGATGCGGTTACCTGGCAACCAGTCTGTATCCACCAATACTGGCACATTGACTACAAAACAGCCAATCAGAGTCTGCCCCCTCAGTGAGTGCTGCTGATGGGCCCGTACAACCCAGGGCTATGGCCCTCTGGGGTGTCGGCTTGGGGAGAAGAACCCAGGCATGTTACATACCTTGGTTTTTGTACTCCCCCTACCCCAGATCTCTACAAGGGAAATGCCCTTAAGTTGGCTTAGAGAAAAGAGGAATTTAAGTTACTTTTAATCAGTAAATCCTAGGCACAAGCACTTGGTACCGAAGGCCTAGAGGCTCTACCCAGTTGGAAGCTGGGGTAAGTGCAGCCACCTCTGCCTTGCAGAGTCAGGCCAGTGAGACCCCCAACCTCCTTGTCCCCACTCCTCCCTCACACAGCTCCCCTCCCAAAAGGTCAGGGTGGGGCCAGCAACTAAGCGATTAGGAACAGAGGTGGCCAAGGCTCTAGGTCTTTTCCTGTCTCCAGTAGCTCAGCCCCCACTCTGAACTCCTGGACAGTGGGCGTCCCTTTCCCAGGACACCTGCATAGTCACTCAGCCTACACCTTCCTCCCCACTCCCTGCAGGGGTCCCAGACTGGGGAGGACCAAGCTCCACCTGTGCTTTCAATGTAGTAGTGTGTGATGCCCTTCCAGTGCTCCACGAAGGCCTGCAGCAGGTCAATGCTGGGTTCCCGCTGCGGAAAGAGCAGAGATACAACCTCGGTGGGGGCTACAATGACCACAGAGCCCCACTGCCACCACATCAGAACAGACATCCCACATCTGCCACGTGTCAGGTCAGTGCTGGACCCCACAGAAGGCACTCTGCTCCCGGGTTTTCAAAGGGAAGAGTAACATATTTTCTCCAGGACACATGGGCATTGTCTCTGTATCTTGCCAAGGATCTCCCCAGACACTCCTCCTGGAAATGCTGTTCTCTTGCTACATGTCAAGATCCCACAGTCCCTGTCCTGGAGCAACTAAGAACATTGGTGGGGGAAAAAGACACAGAAACAGATCATTTCAACATGGTTATGCTACAACAGAGGGACAAATAGGAACACAGGAGATCATCCCCAAAAAGAAAAACAAAATCAAAATGATACAGACGGAAAATGTGGCAAAGATAAAGCTTTCAGGTCCCTCTCAGTCTGAGAATCTATGAAAATCTGTGTTCAAGGCCATGACAGGCTCAGTTCAGCCACATGGGTAACATTAGCATACCAAGAACATGCTTTATTTATAATGCACTTTCCTCTGCTGTCCAAGGCCTCAGGCTGCTCACCCCTAACTCCTCCTCCTCAGGCAGCTCTGCTTCTCCCCCCACCCCCCAGATTTCGGAATCTGCTCTGAGCAAGCCCCTAATCTCCTCCTTTTCCACAAGTACTGTCTCCTTCCCTCTCCACACTGGCTGGAACTGGCCTCAAGCTGTTAACAATCAGTTTCCCTGAAAACTTCAAGCCCATTCTTTCTCTTTCCTTACAGAGTAAATTTTGCAGAAGGAAAATGCAAAATCAGATGGTCCCCACTCACAGGTGCTTGTTTCTGCTCAGACCACTCCTCTGCCCAGGAGACCCTGTATCCCCCTACACCTGTCTGGATCCTGCGAGTCCCTCGTGAGCCCCAGCTAAGGGCCGGTGACTCCATCAAGCCCTCCCCAGGGTTCCTCCCACATGCGTCTCCTCTAATCTCACGCCTCACTGTGCACAGCAAAGCTCAGTATCTTCGGGTTAAATCATTCTTTCAGCAAATACCTCGTGAGCGCCTACTATGTGCACGACACAATGCCAGATGCTATGAGCAACAGAAGGATTAATAAGACCCAGTCCTCAAGAAACATGCCTTGTAGAAGAGACTGGAAAACCGCCTGAGTACCTAAACTACAAGGAAATAGTGTGATATCACAGGAGGGGTGGGAAGTGAAGTCTCAGAAAAGAAGGGTCACTTCTACCGGGCTGGAACAGGCAAGGCTTTACTGAGGTCATGCCGGAACTAAAACTTGAAGAACTGGGTCAGATGTCAACAATGATACGGAAAGACATTCCCTGCAGAAGGAATTCTGCAAAGCATATCTGGGGAAAGTACGGGGTGACCAGTTTGGGGAGCCTCCCATGCCAAGCCACAAAGTCCAGATATTTTTTTGAATACGGAAAGACATTCCCTGCAGAAGGAATTCTGCAAAGCATATCTGGGGAAAGGACGGGGTGACCAGTTTGGGGAGCCTCCCATGCCAAGCCACAAAGTCCAGATATTTTTTTGAAGACAGCAGGTCAATGACACCTTCTGAGCAGTGTTTTAGGAAGAGTCACCTGGCAGCTGTGTAGGACAGGGGGCACAGGCAGGAAGAACGCTCAGAAGGCATGGCATCGTGGGGAGGAAGTGATAACAACGAACCCAGAACTTGAAACACTCCCCTCTTGCGGCTGCCCAGGCCATCTTGTCTTCTTTCAGAGTTAGTTGTAAGGGCCACGACACTTCCCCAAGTGGTACCTCCTGGAGGCATTCCAAATATTCCACCTGTATGGAGTGACTGCATCTTACCACATTCCATGTAATGCTGTTATTGATGGGCTAAGCAGTCATCCCTCCTGCTAGACTGTGAGCTCCCTGCAGGCCAGGGGTCTGTGTTTTATATCTCTGCCTGCTCCAAAGTGCTCTGCATAGAGTGAATCCTTATTAGCATTTACCAAATATCTTGGCAAACTCCTTAAGACATCATTGCATAATTCCTGACCAACACTACAATCATCTCACAATGTCTGTGATGGGGTCCCATCTAGCCTCAACATTATTTATAGTTTCCAAAAACCTTGCGCTGGGCTTTAACCAAAAAGAATGCTCCATTAAGAATAGGGCTGGTCGGCTAGCTCACTTGGTTAGAGTGTGGTGTTGATAACACTAAGGTCAAGGGTTTGGGCCCCCTTACCAGCCAAAACCTGAAAAAAAGAACAAAAGGCAGGCTAGCCAGCACTGGCCCTTAGGGAGAGGAAAGCAGGGGCGGGATCTTTATCTGTATCTTTTAGTAGCTACTATAACTCCAGACCAAAGAAATTGTACCAAATGATTTCTTTTTAAAGATAATACTATTTTTAAAAAGAGCCATAACGATGCCTATTCTGCTGGGTCAGAAGACGGCAGGAAGGGGCCGGCCCGGTGGCGCACTGGATGGTGCGCCGCGCTTCAAGCGGCGGCGCTCCCGTCCGAGGGTTCGGATCCCACGTGCAGACCGGCTCCCGCCCCCTCGCTGAGCGAGGGGTGGGAGCAACCCC